TGAAAAGCCATCCGAAATCTCGGTCATACAGCGGTTTGTAAGGCAGGATTTGATGCACACAAGTGATACAAGCCCAAAGCATGGACTTATCTGTTTTGCCCTCGCGAGTCAATCGCCCACAATGAATCGCCAGTGTAGGAACCTGGGGTGAGAAGGAAGTTCAAGATGCATTGCTAATTTCCAAAGCGAAATAAGCCCACTAGTTTTGCAAGGAATACGCTTTATTACTTTTTCTTCCGTCACAAAAGCGTGCGTGCAACATTTGTAGCAAAGATCACAAAAAGCTTTGTTGCATCTCATAGTGGCGAGCCGAAGAACGTTAAAAAACAAAAAACACATGCTACTTACAAGTAGCTGAAATGATATACGTAACTAGGATTCCCCCAGAAAGACATGAAGCCCTCTGCAACATGTGCCCAGTTAGATCAAAACCAACTCTAGATTTTGGTTTGAAACCTGTTTAGGACTACGAGTACTCTTCACACGGAAAATTCAACCAGAAATGGATGATAATCATACCAAAATCATGCGTTACTGTCCATCCCACTAAGCCGCTGCACTAAAATAACTAAGTTGAGTTGTTAGGTGTTATCAACCACCTACTGTTGTTACTGAAGGTGAACCAGGGACAGGAGCTCTCTGAAACCTGAGAATACATAGTTTGGTGGAGAAAAGTTTACTCAGAAAGAGAGATTTTGCTCCTTTCCAACATGACTTGTATGGAAAATCGTTGGCCATTATGATATAAGCTTTGCGGAGACGATCTACGTTACTGACCGCATGAACGCAGTGGTGCTCTTGTTTGATTTGGACCGACATGAAGCAGCCTATGTGTTCGGAATGAAGCGGACCTCTTAGCAGAGCCGTCAACTTACCAGGTTGTTCTGTAAATCTTATGCGGTTGGATAAGGAGCTTATGTGTGTGAGAGTTCTCAAACGGTTCAGTAATTATGAATGAGAACATCTCATTAGAACAAGAATTTCCAATCTCATTCCATTGGGAACTGGTCTCCCGTGGGTAAAATGAAACCCGAGAGAAGACAACAACTGTGAAACCAAAATGCAGCGCACTGCGCAAACTTCTAGGTGAGACGCGGGGATAAAAGAAGCCATTGATCTGGAAGACACGAAGTTCTGAAATGTTGTTGGTTGGTAGGATTTATTGGCGTTTTCATCGCACAACATCCGTTCTGCCTAATTTTTTCTACCCCCCCCCCCGCCACCCAGCAACTTACACAGTCGGAGTGTGTTGCTAACCCAAGGTAGGTTCTAACCTGGTTGGAATTAATCGACATTCTGCACGGTAAAATATCAGCGTAATTAGACAACAACTGGTTTCAGTTTGCGTGAATTTAAAAGTCGGCTCAGTTGCATTTTCACTGCATTTTAGTTTCACAGGTTTTAGCTTCTCTCAGGTTTTATTTTACCCACGGTAGGCCAGTTTCCAATGGAAAGCGATTGAAAATTCGTGTTTTAATGAGCTGTTCTCGTTCTCAATTAGTGAAACACTGGCGAACTCTCACACACGTATAGCTCCTTACCTACCGGTGCATTTTAAATGAACGTTTGCGATTGCGGAGTTGTACAATCAACCGCACATCATTCGAATCTTCACATGTGAAGTACGAAATAGAAAATTGAGAAAAGCATGTAACCATTTGCTGATATGCTCTGGTAAGTTTGAGCTCTAAAAAATCTGGAGAAAGGAGTTGAAATTACAAGAAAACAGTTACAGTGTTGTCCCAGAGACTGTACATTCCAAAATGTTTACTGGGAACCAATAGAATACAGCGAATTACGGTAATCAGTTGATCATGTGGTAATCTTGCGGAACACCAGGTTCTCAATAAAGTGCAATAAACACATACAGTAAATGCCCGTCAGGGGATTTTCCATGCGAAATGAATGCAAGCATATTCGGGAAGCGACGTGCTGTCATCCGAGACAGCGTGCAAACTTCAGCTGTATGTGAAGTAGTTCGATATGGTACCACCTAGCGATATTTTCATGAACTTAGTGTAGAATAATCAGCGCAAATACAAGGCCAAATACCAGTATGAAGGGGAAAGCCCTTAGCCGTGGAGTTGTTCATAATCAAATGCCAACTAAGTAGTTACAAACTACTTGACAGGAACGTAAACGTCCTATATGCATTTTGTTTTTAGAAGCTGACCATTTTCATGCGTGTACTTGAGCTTTCGGGGATATTCATTGACTATCACGCAATGGTAAACGAACGCCGAACAGCGGATCCACAGGTTACGTAATGCACCCCACCTTCCATTAAGCAAGAGGCGGAGTTGCGAGAAAACCACATACTACTCGCAAGTCTCGTCAGTAGTATACACCGTTAGACCAGTATCCGCATATCTGTTTGCCATCTAGTGAATACTCAAGATGCTCACCTGTATTTTAATCCCTAAGTCAAATAGATGTGTTAAATTACCTGCATCGTTGTAGTCCTAAACACTGTTCTTCCGACAGTGACCTGTACAGACCCAACTGTGATTTCATTGGTGCAGCTAACAAATTCAGCACATTCGGTTAATTCGAAGAACGCAACCTGGCTGCCAACACCACGTGTGACGCCGTATACAAACCGACTACAGAAATTAAAGGCGGAAAAGGCAATTACTCTTATCTTCTACCACCTGGTATTTAGTGTGCTGGAATTCTGGCCGGACCAGTGGCTGATTCCAGTCAGTTGGACAGCTTTTGGAACTGATCGATAACACATCACTTCGGACAAGTCTGGAAAGCTTATCTGCGCTCGCATTACAAACACATATAGCCCCGTCATCGCCGACATGGTCGGATACCTGGTTAACGGCACTTTTCGAATGGATAGCCTAAAGGTATGGCTTCTAGCCTGATGACCTACACATAGCATCGTTGTAAGCATTCATGAAATGCACTCATAGGCAAACTAATTGGTCCTTAAACAGGAGACTCAACTGAATTTCTCTACGGTGTTATTCTGTTGCAATTCAGGTGAGTTTTCTACTGAAGGCAAATTACGATTGCCACTGAGTACATTCCGAAAACGGCGTCTAATTTGGGCTTGAGTAAAACCTAAGACTGACGGAAACTCGGCGACTGTGCCTACCTGATGAGCCCCAAGAGGGGCAAAATCGGTCTTGGGATGAAGAATAGCATGTCTCACCAAGATAACATACATTATTTCTCCCCTTCTCACGCTTTTATTGACCCTTCTAACTCCGTTAGCGTTCTGTACGTCGAGGAATTACCCAGGGGTAAATTTACTTGACCTAACGGTTGAAATGTCGTATTTGGTGCACATCATTCAGCTGCATCGGAAGAAGCGGAAATCCATCGATTAAGCTTTTACCAAACAGACCGTTACAGAGCAGCTTAAACATCAAAAGGATGGTTACCGTGCATCCCTGCAACAGTCTAGAGTTCCTTGTCCAAAACGCTCAGTATTGAGACAACGAACCCCTAATGAAATGCAAATTAGATAAAGCCAAAAGGTTTTATCTACTCGCCCCGCGATTCGTGGTTACTGGGACAAAAAAGCGATTGGTTAGATGTAGGGTTGTTTAGGGTAAAAAGGAACGCAAATGTTGTGCAGCGAAGTCAACTTCCGGTGGTCAGTTTTGAATTGCCTAGTGGGTATCGAAACAAAACTATCCGAACACATATGCATCGTCTTGTGGACTAATCTACTCAGATCCAAGCTAGGTTGCGCTTTTTTCTTTCACGCCTTAGTAAAACTCCGAACAAGGCCACATTGTTTAAGCACTTAAGTTACAGTGGTTGACTCGCATTTGCAAGCAACCGGTTTGTGTATATGATCACACAAGGTTGGTGAGTTAATTAAATGCTGTATCCACGTAAAAGCAACGAACCGGATTAATTTTTGGACGCTTCACTGCAAATTCATTTTTATTCACTTTGGGAACTACTTAAAAATATTTACAACTCCTGGTTCTTCCAACGGTAGTGATGTTCATCTGATCCATGTGTATTTCGCTGGGCTCACTGTTGAACAAAGTAAGATCCATTAGAGTTTCGGTGGACAGTCTGGATGAACTCCAGAGTTTTCAGGATATATTCGTATTACGTGTGTTACATGTTACATGCGACAGGTCTTTCAATAGGCCTGATGGATATTGTCAGTCGCTAGCAGCCAATAGACTACTTTCCTTCGAAAAGTAAAATCCTTAACGTATAACAGGATAGTATTATAACAGATTTAGAGATGGCCCGTAACGCTTCAGGTGACAAATGTGTAGCAACTGAACAACTTGTTCACTATGTACAATAAAGAAATATGGAATATTCTGTTTCGGTTGACGGTAACTCTTTGCGTCGAGGGTGAACGACCGGTGAATTGGTTTCGGCAAGATCACAAATAGTCCGAATCGGTGTAACTCTAGTTTATTTGTCCGTCGTTTCTCCTGGCGTTGAAGTCAGATTAAAACTTTGGCACGTGAACAAGACTTAATGTTTGAAGGACCCAACACCACTGACATTGATGATGACATGTACGCCAGACTTTTAATTCGGATGTTACCTCCAGAGTGCGTGTGTATACTCTGATATGTCCGATACACCGACCCCTCGAGGTCCGTAAATCCACGTTTTACTGTTCCACTTTAACTGCTATATGTGTGAACAGCCCCCGCATATTTGGTTTGAACAAGTCAGTTGCTCAAGATTGAGCTACCGGTGTCATAGAGCCAGAGTAGGCACGAGAACCGATTCGCTCCGAAACCGTATGGATGGCTCACGAATAGGAACGATCATACATTGGAACGCCGGACACCGAACCTCCCTAGAGCTTTGTGAAATAGGTATGGCTAACAATCCTAAAATAAGGACGAACTGAACGTGTTCGTTAGTTTATCGGCAAGGGTTAACCTGAAAAACGACAGACAGATTAGGAACAACGTCATGGTAAACACAATCTGCTGCTGAATGGGAAAATATCATGACAATAGATTCTTTTCCAATCTAAGCAGGTTCTTTGCGACGAGGTTCCACAGTAGCTAACATTCAGCAGAGCTTAGTTATTATTGCGGTCTGAAATTACTGATTTCGGCTTTCTGGGTACCTCCTGGCCAGGTACGAAACAACTCTATCCAGATATTGCAATGCAGTACGGTCGCATGAGAACTGAAGGCGGTGTAACTGGATGCAGCAATCAGTCAAGTTCATAGTTTTTAAGCCAAAAGCAAAATATTCTTCCTCAGACATGTGGACAAATGCTGCTGGAAACTGTTATACGTATTAATTCGGAAATAGTTTCCCACAATACATCAAAGAAAAGCTGGATTTTCACGGCGCTGACAAACAATTAATGTAGTAGTTCGACCTTCGCGTGTAGCCTTGAGAGATTCGTCAGTTGGACATTCCTGGAAAAATTTGAGCACTGGGTCTATTCGTACAATACCATCAAAGCCGCCTTCAGATCCTACGACACAGGCCGGATCCACAGGCAATTCGCAGTGTTCAGAGAAACTCAGGGCCTTTCCATCGGATGAGGGACTGAAGTGCGCACACCAGCAAACAGTGAACAGTGGGTGATTGGACAAACACGTCGTCATCCAATTGGCCAGTTCTGGAACATCTGTGGTGCAGTAAAGAGAGCCACTTGGGGCCAAAACATAGGCGTACACATCCAGCAATGTAGGAGAAATGATGCGCCACTTGTGCTTCATGCGCTTAAAATGTGGATCAGGATAGAGGAAGAACATCTTCTGCAGCTGACCCTGAAAAAGGAGGTTTTGAAAGACAGGCTAGTGAGGAGGATGAGGAAACACCGAACGGGGAATTTTGTAGGAAGCAAAAAATTAAAAAAGGACTGACGCAGTGAACATGGCAGAGGTAAAGGAAAATGAAAAAGCAGTGACGGAGTTCGTTGGTTTGAGAGGATGGGATGAAACGACATAACACACTATCAAAAAGGGCGTTGAACGGACCATTCGCTTCAGATAATTCAACTTCTGCCAAGTGATTGGCAAGGACAAGGTAAAGAATCGGTTGTGGGATAAGTGGCAACAAATGAATGTAATCTCATCTTCTATGGGCTGGGATTCAATAAATCAGGCTTCATAAATTGCACAACCCCGTTACCTCACAACCTCCTCTCAACAAAAAACAAAGTTCCTTCCTTTCAAAAGGGCTTGGTAAACAGTCGATAGTTTTTAAATGGGAAATGTTTCGCCTTTGGCGCCAAAGTTTTATCGGGTCAGGTGAGGCGGTCACCAATTCGGACAGGTTTTCGGGCAGACGGAGAACCCAGCAGTAAGAACTCTTCAAATTAGCACACCAGATCAGTGTTGAATGTCAACTTTGGGCCGGCCTAAATCTTGTGGTTGATGGTTTGGGGGAGCTTCGAATTATTTTTGATCCAGTTAGGCTCGATAATCCTCCACTTGAAGGTGCCTTAACTGATGATTCACTTTGGGTGCCACTGGTAGATTTCGTCAGTCTGTCTGGGCTTGTGAGTGCAACGACAAGTTAGTTAGGGGGAAAGGGGGTGAGATTAGGTGCAATTCAGACGAATCTTCTTTGATGACCCTTCTGATAACCGCACACTAACGTGTTGACTCGGCTGTTGCAAGACCATTCTCCAAACGCTTGCCAATTCTACCTCTTCTATCCTATTTTCACTGAGATGCTTGGGGACTTCCATCGCCTCGTGTCACGCTAAAGTTTTCAAACACTGATAAAGAGCGAAATCCCATAGCTTGACTTGCATATCGGCTGACCGTTGTGGCATGGACCGTAGTCCTCGCTTCTAAATCTATTGTGTTCCGTGTCCAGTGCATGTTCTGCCATTGCCGAGTTTTTCAGAAACGCTCGATATCGATCTGAAACAATGACTTCTCAAACGGTCCTAAACTTTTTCCAGTGTTCCTCCCGTCTCATGTTCGCTCCTGACTGGCTTCAGCTGTTCGAAAATCTGATCACAGAATGGTGCGTCTTAGATAATTTAGAGATCCAGGTTAGGCGGAGTGTGAGGCCGATGACTAGATCAATAACTACGTCGAACGACATTCAGAGTGTGAACCTGGAGGTTGCAACGCATCGGGCTTAAGGTAAGGTGGTGCTCGGAAGCGGATCGCATGGTCTAGGCATTCTGCGATGGTGATTGGAATTTTGAGGCATTGCAACATTGCCTGAGAGTTACTCACCCGGAAGGTGGGCGATCAGCAGTCTAATCCAGTCAAAGTCCACACTAGGGTGTTCACGAACCTCTCGATATTACTGTCAACGCGCAATTAATAGATGAACAAATCCAAAGTGTAATGCTGGGAACGTTGTTTCGAAGAGGACAAATAGATGCGCATCCTGTTTGTGCGAAATTTCGAGCGAGAAACAGCTTCACAAACTTATGTAATTCTGTGTACAAAAACATTAGTTCTCAATCTAACCTCACATACTTTGACCAGCAGAGTTCAAGTTTATTGCAGCATAGATTATCAAAGGGAGATCAGTGTATCATCATCAGGCTTGAGGAATTCGGGAACAAAGAACAAGTGCGAGTACGATAATTTCACGATAATTTTGCGCTGCCATTTGGGATCCAAATATTGACTTTATGCAACAACAGCTAGCGGAATTAACAAGCAGATCGAAAGGGAAAAGACTGGGCGTTCGTTCTACTAGACCCTACCAAATGGGAAATTACCTTGAGAAAAAAGTTTGGAAGAAATTTCATAGCATTGGTCCGTAGACAAACAATGTTCTGGTATTGTCCAGGATGTTTCAGTCGTAGTGCACGAATTTTTTCCTGTAACGAAACCAAAAACAGGTCATCAGACAGTCCGATGAAATCAGGATGACCGTTTGACACGATTCCCCATAAATATTTGTCTATAGATAACGGATAAGCTACAGAAGTAAGTTCGTTTCATTAATGGAAGTCTAACGTTTTGTTCTCCTACAATGTGTCGGACTGTTTTGGCACAACAGCAATGCACGAAAATGAAAGATGGGTACAAGGCAAGGAACCGCTTTCGAATTCATTCAGCGTTCCAATCAAGAATAAAGGCATATAAAAACGAGTGTATTGTGGATTATATGGTTATACGGCTGCGAGACTTGGCCAGTTAGGGTGGATGAGCTGAGAAATCCCAAGATTTCTGATGTCCCGGAACTGGCTGGAATCAGATGGAACCGGCAATTTCGCAACCAGGTGATCAGAAAACGGGTCTTTGATGAAGAAGGCGGTACTTCACTCACAGATTGCATCCAGCATTGTACGCTAAGGTGGCTGGGTTATATGTTACGCATGCTGAGTTGCTGCTCACCGAGAAAATCGTCGCTTTCGGTGTTTAATCTAGGCTGATGCAAACCCAGAGATGGGTGGAGTATGACGTGGCAAAATGGAATGAAGGATATTACGGTGAGTTTGGGCGCTGTTCGCTTTCTATGATGTGATCAACATTACACTCCTGCTTAGCTGGAGAAACTGAACAATGCAACGGCTAACCAATGTCCGTAACATTCATGCTATCACTTTCTATCCAAATTGTCTGACTAAGTGTTGGAAATTCAGACACCTCGAATGTTTATGGTAGGCTAGCTCTGGGTCCCCTTCCCGCCCCATTTTATTCCTTCTTTTCATTATAAGGCTTTATTCAAATAAACTGACAAGGTCTTAATGCAGTGAACATCCAATGTCCAGCTTTGCAGTTGGAGTCAATGACGATGATGGTGATGTTTCACCAATACTGGTTAGCAGTGATTAAAACTATACCGGTTGCAGTCAAATCTTGCTACAACTCAGCACTAAGGTAACAAAGCTTGAAGTACTAGTCAAAGATTTGAACCACAATAAGCAAAAGTAAGATGAAGCAACGTAACTCATTCACATTCGTCATTTTGGATTTATGAGTGATCAAGAGGTAACACTAGACATTCGAAAAGGTCCCGCATATAGTACAGCACTCAGAATCTGGTCAAACTAAAAATTTGGTAGCACTTCTGGCTGTTCTCTAATGACGTCGAATTTTATCACACATTCAAGACAGTGTATCCGCTCAAACTCATTTGAAAGCGGTGTGGTGAGTATGTTGTTTTGGGTGTTTCGTCCTCAGGTACTTTATCCAAAAGTAAGCACTAGAATGGTTACTAAAGAAGCACGGACTTGCCGAAAGTTGCACGACCACCACAGCATGTCACTGAATACCAGGACGAAAAATATGGTGCGAATAAAGAGGGAAAGTTTTCACGAGAGACTCAACTGATTCTCTCGTTCATGATATTTCTCGAAAACAGCCCAATTTGGGTTCAAGTAGAACATAAAGTTGACGGAAACTCGGAGACTGCGCCTACCTGATGAGTCCAAGAAGGGCGAAACCGATCGTGGTTTGCCGAAGAGTTTTCAGCAACCTTGTGAGTAGTTCCCTTCGTGAAAGAGGGGGAGTGTTGACTGAGGCAAAACTGGGTGGAATCAACACTTCAAAATTTGGCTAACTCTTAAGACGCTGGATGATATTATGATTCAAGTTTCTTCTATTTCCCATAGTATCCTTTTTCGATGAGGAGAAAAGTGCGCTGCAAGATCTTAAAACAAATATTTATGAGCAAGGTAGCCCCGAAGCATCCAATTGTGTAGGATAGGCTAATTTTAGTATATCAGACTCAGATCTGGGCATGAAGTAGTCGCAAAATACACATGCTTGTTTAATTCTAGGGTCGGTGAAAGGAGGCCTTATTTGGGAACTGCTGTATAACTCAATGACCGATACAGATGGTTGAAGGGTAACTGATTCTAATTTGTAGAGAACAGGATTGGGACCAAACAAAACCACCCTCCCGAGCGGAGGATTCTCTCCAAAGGAGATCTGATCTTTATCACGCATACAAGTATGATACTCTATGAAGCTTGTAGAGTTTGTTGTTGAATTCTTTGATCACTTACGACTTACACTGATTCTTGTTCAACTGGACCGACCTGTAGCTTGACTTATCAAAAGTGACTTTCATCGCCGCTGTGGCGTTGTATTCACGGTCAGGTCAGCCTCTTGTCTTAACCAGTTGCAGTTTCTTCGCGTTCTTTGAGGTCTTCAGGTGCATGGTCGTTATCTACAATCCTAACAGATGGGTTCGCGCTAATCTACTCATGGAGACAACTACTCCGGTGGGCTTTCCTTGGTGTTACAACACTTGAAAGACCGACCGATTCCTGTCATTGTTACATTCTGAGATTACCACTAAAATTTCACCATAAACAAGCCCTTTAAAACGCTTGGTGATGTTGTGGCCCTTTCCTTGGCAACACTTGAAAGACCGACCGATTCCTGTCATTGTTACATTCTGAGATTACCACTAAAATTTCACCATAAACAAGCCCTTCCCTTTGCTTGGTGATGTTGTGGCCTCTGTCGGCTGATTACATATATATATA